CAGGCAGGGACTTTGCCACTGAGCTAAATCCCCAGCCCCTTGAGACTGAGATTAAGGGCAGTGGACTAGTTAATCTTTTTTTTGTTTGTTTGTTTTTTTCTGATACCAGGAACCGAACTCATGACCTTGCGCAGCCAGGCAGGTGCTGTGCTGCCGAGCTAAACCCCCAGCCCTGGACTAGTTAATCTTGTAGAAGAAATTTCAAGGCAGTTTAATGCTGATGCTGTGGCATGGCTAATCTGGCTTTTGGCCAGATTTATGTTGACAATCAAGAACAAAGAGCACAGCAGCATGACTTAAAATGTTGTGAGTTTGGCCAGAAAGGAAACTCCAGTAAAGTTGTGGACTGCAAAGATAAAGTAGAGGAGACCTTGGTTGCTGAAAAGGAAGAGAATAGAAAAGATGGCCTGAGGACACCACAAGAAGCAGCAGGACTCCCCCTTTGCAGCCTCAAAACTGCAAAATGAAAGACTTTGCTTTGAGAAGAAGATCCCAGAGCAGCATATTCCAGAATGGCAGCAGCCTAGAGAATTTGTGCCTCAGAATTGGATTCAAAGTGCTCAGTGATCCAGTCACTCAACCTTTACATCCAAGAGAGAGGGAAGCCTGGCTACTGCTCCGGCTAGCAACAGACCCGGGCATCATCCATGTGGCACTGGTTTTAGGTGGATGCAGAATGCAAGAGCTGTGGTATCAGGAAGGCTTCCATCCAGATTTCAGAAGAGGGTCTGGGAAGCCAGGCAGTGTGCTCCTGAGAGGACACTGTGTGAAGCTATGAGTATAAAGCCAAAGGTGCAGTGGAGACCCCAGAAGTGTGGAGAAACCAGGAGCACCGATCATCTGAGGAAAACTGCGAAGTGAGCAGAGCAGGCCCAAAAGAGTAGGCATAGGAGCTATAACCACCAGAAGTGCTGTAGGGGCAAAGCCACCCAAGCCTTTTGGGTTCACATCTTGCCACATATTACCTCAGATGCTGCACATGGAACTTCAGGACTTAATGTTTTCCCTGCTGGATTTTGGACTTGCTTTAGTCCTATTCCTCTGTATGCCCCATTTGTAATTTTTAGAATGGAAATGTCTATCTTGTGCCATTGAATGTTGGAAGTATTTAGCTTTGTTTTCATTTTGTACAGGAGCTCACAGCTAACAGCTAAGTTTGTCTTAAACCTCAGAGGAGATGTGGGACTCGGACTTTTCAGCAATGCTGAAATGGTTAGGACTTTGGCAACTCTTGAAAATGAACTAAATGGGCTGGGTGTGGTGGCACATGCCCATAATCCCAGCAGTCGGGGGGCTGAGGCAGGAGGATTGTTGTGAGTTTGAGGCCAGCCTGGGCTACAAAGTGAGCTCAAGGCCAGCCTGAACTGCGTGGCAAGATCCTGTCTCAAAAAGGCAAAAAAAAAAAAAAAAAAAAAAAGAACTAAATGCTTTTTGTGTAAAGGGATGTGCATGAGTCTTTGTGGGGGACTGCAGTGAAATGTTACCATTTGTGTCTACATGTCCCCACAAAGCCTCATGCAGTTTTAGATAGGGCTTTTTTTCCAGAGGTGGCTGAATCTAGAGTGTGTGATTGATTGGCCATGCAATATTGGGATTAAGGGTGCTGGGATTAAGGGTGAGTGGTTGCTGGATCAGTCCATTGATTGGATTAGGACCTCCATAATCCCAGAAGACTCAAACAATATAAGGGACAGAAATAGGCTTGTCTTGCTCGCTCTTGTGGCTTTTGCTGTCTTCCACTGCCATGAACTGTTACCCCTCTGCCATGGGCCACCCTGCCTTGGATCCAGCTAATTATGGACTGAACTCTCTACAAACTGTGAACTAAATAAACCTTTCCTCCTTTAACTTTGGGTGTTGGGTATTTTGTCTCAGCAATGCCAAAATTAACGAAGACAGTGAGTTCTGGGCCAACCTGAACTACATAGCAAGACCTTATCTCAAAAGAAAAAAATAAGAAAGAAGTAAAAAGTTCAGGTGGATAGGAGGTGGAGGAGGCACTGCTGAGCCAACAGGAACTCGAGGTTTGGAGGGCTGCAGCTGGGCCCTGTGGCCAGGTGTCCTTGGAGGGCAGCGGCTGGGACTGCACAGTGGGGCAGCAGTGACATCTGGAGTGAATCCAGGTTTCATGGGCTGGGGCACAGACTGTACCAGCCACACACTTGGGTGTCCCTGCCACTCCTGGAGCAGCTCAGGCAGCCAGGTGAGCACTGTCTCAGGTCCCAACTTCACTATAGCAACAGGGCCTGTGTCAGGGTGGCCAAGTCCCAGAAGGTGCTGTCAAGAGGGCTGGAGCAGTGTCAGGTCCCCTGTTGGAAGTCAGGGCAAGGACACTCCAGACTGTCACGTTTCTGGGACATATTGTTATATAAATTATATCTCCCACCTCAGTACTGGGGATGGGATTCACATCCTTCACATTGAGCTGCACCCTCTACCTTTTTATTTTTCATTCTGAGACAGTCTTGGTAAATTGCCCAGGCTTGGCTCAAACTTGTGATCGTCCTGCCTCAGCTGTCCAGAATTCTGGGATCACAGTCCTGCACTGCACCCCCATGCCTGGCCGGGCCTCCTGACGTGTTTGTTTCACTGCATCACTGTCCAGAGAAACTCACCTGAGCATCTGTGCAGAGCTTCAGTGATGTGTCCAGGGCTTCATCAGGGATGACTGACTAATCATTGCCGTGTGGCTCAGTACCCAGCTCCCCCCCAATCAGGCTGGTGGCTCCATGCCAGCCCCTGGTCACGTGCTCTGTCTTTCTGGGTGACCAGCCCATCCAAACCCGTCTTCTCCAAGGAGGCTCAGATGTGACTGCAGGGGCCGGAGACATGGGAGACCCCAAGAACTCAGTGTCTCTCTCCCGGCAGCCAGGGTCAGGGCCACAGCACAGCATGCATCCAGCAGTAAAGGAGACCCAAGGGACACAAGGGCTAGGTCCCACTGCAGCTGCCTTCTGGAGCCCAGCTCTGAGTCACAGGATGCTGTCCTGGGAACAGCACTTGTATTCTCATCTAGGTGCAGTGCAGAGTTCCTGGCGTCAGGACCTGGGGCAGGGAGTGGTTGTGCAGGACAGTAAACAATGTTCTCGTTCCCAGGGCAGCACAGCAGGTGCATCTTGTAACCCGGAGCTGGGCTCCCTGTGGCAAGAACAGCCTGTGGCTGCCACCAGGGGCCAAATCTTCAGAATGATCAGCTCTAAATCATGTGTGCTGAGGTGTGGCCAGGCGGCACACTAGGTCCCAGACAGGCCTGGGCCGGTTGCCGGGTGCTGCCTGCAGGTGTCCTAGGAGCAACTTCTGCCATCCTGCACCTTGTGTCCCTCCTAATGTCCTCCACTTAAACATCTACCTTTCTCCTCAGAAGACTTTGGAGCCCCAAGGGCCCAGCTCCCACCACCTATCCCCAACTCAGAGCCACACTACGGTGCAACTCAGGGCTAGAGTATGTGCTTAGCATGTGTGGAGCGCTGGTTTCCATCCCAGCCCCCAACACACATTCAAGAATCCCCACCACCACTCCTCCCATCTATCTGCACTGAAGCGCTGGGGTAACCTTTTTTTTAAGTGTTGGGGATTGAAGGATTAAAACCATTCTTGCTGAGCTTGTCAGTGACTTCACAGGGATTTCA